AGATCTTAAATTGGTGTTAATGCTTTTGGTTAAGCGGTTTTCGATGAATTACTACCCTTGACGAATAGCGCGCAAACGAGAAAAAAATGCGCGAGTCAGCCATACCATTGCATTTCGGTCGCTGCAGCCTCAAGTATCACTTGGAGGATGTCCACATTCAAACTTCGCCTTCCGCGATGCTTGGTGATGCTTGAAAAGCAGCTTTGAACCACAGAGAGGATGTCAGTGGGTTGGTTCATTATAGATTTGTTTTATCCGGCGGAATTAACGAATCCGAAGTCTTATCGGTCAAAAGGTGTTTGAGTTCTATCAGTTCCCGTGCCCTTTCAGGTCGGCTGAACTTCCGGTTTGAACTACACAAAGATGGAACGCAATGGATCTTCAGAGGCTGTAGTCAAGCACTGGAAAATACAATGTGCTTTGACAGGTAGCCTTCCACTGCGGTAAACGGGTTACCAAGTCTCAGAAGGAGCAGAATGAACATGGATTGNTGAGGTAGTACATATTCAGACTTCACCTTCCGTTTTTCAAAAGCGTAACTCGATGCTGCCCAAAAAAAGACTGAACCATAGAGAGGACATCGGTGCGTTGGTCCATTAAGGTTTGTTTTTCCGGCGGAATCAGAGGTGTTTCCGGTCAAAAGTTGGTTTGGTTCTGTCAGTGAAAGTGTCCTTCCAGGTCGCTTCGGCTTCCAGTTGCAATTGCACAAAGATGTAACCGAGTGGGTCAACAGAGGCTGCAGTCAAGCACAGGAAAATACAGTGTGCTTTGACAGGTAGCCTTCTACTGCGGAAAACGGGTTACCAAGGCTCAGAAGGAGCAGAATGAACATGGACTGTAGATTACCGTTTTCCACTGCTTCATAGTTCCTTGAGGAATTTTGTCGATTGTCCCCTGATGTTTCCGTTAAATTTCTGGCCTCTTAAATGTTCCAATGTGTGCAGGGAAACGTCGCTAAGTTCCAAGCAGTTTTCAATCAGAACTCATTCATTGATTAACTTGAAATATCATGAGGTTGTTTTTTGTCGTAAATAACATAGTTGACTGTGGTTGGCCAGTTTTATAAAATAAATTCCTGTCCGTGTCCACGGAAGACCTCATGATCATCGTTTAGAACAGGTAAGGAACAACCAGTTAACTGGCCGGAGTCAAAAGTAGTCCATCGATCGTTTCCACTACCGTCCGTTTTGACCAAATGGGTGCCAGAAAAAGTGCATTATCTGCTAGCTTAGCTCTATTTGCGGCACAAGCGGCACACCCTATTTCACGTTTTGTTCCCATCAAAGTGCTTCTCAATTCCAACCTTGTTATATCTGGAGGAAAACATATCAAAATGATACAACCCGATGCATTGATAACAGCATAATCCATTGTTTGAGTATGCTGCTCAAAACATGGTCAGCTTAGATATTTTGAGGGTAAATGTGGGTGGATTGTCGAGGCACCGTTAAAATATACCGTTTCCGTAGCGTCTAATTTAGAAAAGAAATATAAATTTTCGTAAGCCTGCTTTCCCAGAAGACAGGAATGATGCGGATCGATCATGTATCCAAGAGGAAAATAACGGAACTCTGGCATCATTTTGTGCAAAACAAGTTTGTTGTTCACCAACCCGGCGCAGGTTTTCCTCTTAGTGTAACAATGTGTGGAGGCAGGATAATTGGTTACAATGTAAGCTATCGCTGATCAAACACGAGGAATATTTCCTTTTTTTAGAAGGAATGCAAGGTTGGTAGGTGATATTCACGTTCTAATCCGTGGCACACACTTTCCATTGGGGGAGAGACACAGAAACAACTGCCAGGAAGTTGAGGAGGCCGAATATTACCAACCTGCATTGTTTTGCGGCGGCATCGTCAAAGGTGACCCACTACACTGCACCGAGTATGAACGTTTGGTTGCCAACCACAGTATATAGGTGAATAAAAAAAGAAAACACCATGTGGCCACTGCACATTTGAGGTTTATTGACGCAATAACATAGAATGGGATCTCTTTTGAGCCACAGGACAGACTTCACCAGGCACAACCCAGTGTGCTGAGGGTCGTACAATTCCTTCTTAGTTCTATTGGCTAATTTAATTATCGTTTATTTTTGAACAGCACTGGATGAGTGCGAAATGGTTACAGGATAACATGGATAAGCGAGAAACGTCTCGATCGACGAACACATTCAACTGCATGACAGCCCTAAATGGGAAAACATTTTCTACTAGATTTCAAAGTAGCTGCCCCACTTCCCAATGTGGATGGCAACAATAAGTTTAAATCAAATTATGCCCCGTATTCTTAGACGAACGAAGCCCGGACTAAAACTCTTTTTTTCCGAGAAAATGTCCAATGCCAACATTTTCAAGAAGTGATACGTGTCTGTTACTCTAACGGAACAGAACGTTCTAAGCTCTATTCCGATACTTACCACTTTAAAAGTATATCAGAACCATATACCTTTAGAAGAATTTGCTGAAAAACCCCACTCCATGACTGAATGATACAAAATTTCTGTAGACCACTGAAATTCCAAGACAAATTAGCCTACAATGAAATTCTCTGAGGAGCTTTCTATAAACCTGACTCACTGGCTAGAAAACGGAACATAAGCATTTGTGGCCAACCGAAGTGACAGATGTATGGGTCAAGTAGTCTGAAAACGCTTTGAGATTGTTAGTAGTTTCTTTTGTGAAAGATAAAATGCGATACCTTTAATATCTTATCAGCGGAGACATAGAGCGCCCAGTGTGCAACGCATTCAGTTGAGGAATATCATCATCGAGAGAGTTACTTGAGTCATCCGTGAAATGCAAATCGATATGCGAATGAGTATATTCATCCAAACATGTAAAGTCCAAGTTTGAAAAATTCTTTGTAATGACTGGTAAAAGACAAGCCAACACCTGTGGAAACGAACGCAGGACTTGTTCCAACTCATAGCTTACAGCAAGTTGAAAATCTCTTCCAACTGCTTGAGGTAGAAAAGGGCACATTCGAAATAAAACTGCAACCTGTACGCCTTCAGAAGAGAACTCTTGCGTGCAAAAGTGACTCGCCGCAGCTTCAGCCAAAACGGAGATTTCACCAAACGTACCCAAGTATATCATCATTATTTTCAACGGCATCAAAGGATAGCCTAATTACGCTGAACTGCCATAAAACAATAATGGAAAAGAAGCCTTACTAAAGGGTGTTATAGCAGTATTACTCATATGAATGATTGTACATTTGTGTGGTGAAGACGCTCCCAAGACGCATCGTGAACTGGGTCGACACGCTGTCATTTGTGGTCCCCACTCGACATCAGCTCATGGCAAAATGACGGGAGAATTTTCGATGTTGTTCTAATCTCTGTTTTAGTTGCGTAGGTGAGGCTTATTCAAATGCATTTAGCTGGCTCCGCGCAGTTTTTACAAGTTCGTATCTCTGTTGGGTGGCTAGGTAGCGGAATGAAAAACGGAATGGATGATACTTTAACGTCAAAGTGTTCAGAGTGCACAAAACCTGACCGAAATGTTCCTCGTCCGCTGGTAGCCGTTTCGTATACGTTTAAAATGCATTTTTCTCACATTTACCAAAGTAATGGACAAGAGCTTCAGCAACATCACACCTGACACGTTAGGTAGCCCAAAAACAGAGACTTAATCTTCTCACAACGTGCATTAAATTAAGACCACCGTTCGTCCGAGGGGTTGCGGAAAAAACCAGATGTTCTTGTCCATTGGAAAATCAAGTAATATCTTACAATCCCAATGTGTGAATTTGGTAGACGATCTGGGTGCCAATTCGTGGGACAGAAATCTCTGAAAAGAAAAACAAATAAACAGAACGTAACGATACAATTTGGCCCGCGGGAAACGGAGACAGAGCGTACGCACAGATCGTGGCAGGTGCAAGTACCTAAATCCTCTAGACCGTCGCATGACCTCTCATTGTTTACTGGATAGTATGTGCGTCACAGAAAGACGCACCCAGTTGACGCAAGAGGTCTAGCAATGGGGAGGGTGTCTCGACCAAACCATGCTGGTGGCAAAACGCGTAGAGTAAATGCATCTACGTATGTCATTTCCCAGCTGTTCTTTTCCTAAGGATAATTAATTTGTGGCTTACTCGTGGAAGAGTCACGGGATTTCGTTTGAATGCGCACTAAATCAGTCTTCTATCTAAGTCAAACAATTTTTTCAACCTCTTGGATGTAAAAATAACATCTCCTGATCGAAATGTCCTCATATTCGTATGTGATTCGATACTAGTGTGACTGGTCACATTAGTGGTGCATTACTACCGATGAAACCCGCTCTAATACAGCCGGTGTTTAGTCAATAAACTACCATCTATGTTTAAGATAATTCTGATATTGTTCCACCACCTGATCCATTAATATTACACATTTTGAACACAATGCATTTCAGATGGCCTTCAGTTCTTCAGGTGACGTGTCATAATAGTTCACAATAGACGAACGTGATATTCTTTCAAGTTCCAAAATGGGTTTCGGACTTCACGGGGGAACGTAAACGTTCTTGTTTTGCGTAAGGAATTTAACAACCCACTGATTTCTTCCGTATAATTCTGGTCGAGACTGTAGGCGTTCTATCGAAAGGCCTTTTTATGAAAGCGAACAGGTTGAAAAGAATCGTCTACCGCAACCGCAAGTTATTCTTGACCCACCGAAGATCTGAGTTTCTAACCACATGTTTTTGTTCGTTTTTCCTGATGTACAGCCAAGGAACGTGTGGTCAAAGTTGCTTCCTGAATATCCGTTTTCAGCGAATTTCCGCTCCTGAGGAATGCTGCGCAGATGAGGACCAGAGGCGCTCCCTTTCATGCTTTCTTTATGTCAACGTGGTTTTTTATTCTAACCTTGTGAAATCTGGAAGGAAACATATCAAGTTGGGACAACCCGATTCACTGATAACAGCACAATCCCTTAGCAAAATGCATTCATTTGCAAGCTAATTTAATTTTGCGAGCTGAATCTCTCGTTTGTGTTGTTTCCAGGCAACTGAATGTGCTTCACCAGGCCGCCTCATATTTCACTCGCAACAATATTCGAGATATCGCGTTACATGTATATTCACAGTGCACTACTCATAAGGTTGCTTAGAATTCGTCGACAGCGCACGACCGGTTTCGTCCTTCTTGGGGCTCATCAGGTAGGCGAGTTTCCGTCGCCCAAATTGCACGAAATTAGCAAAATACACTCATTTGCAAACCAATTTGTTTGAAAGTGCTACTGAAAATTTTTTTAGCTTAGACACTTTGAGGGTAAATGTGGATGGATTGATAAAGCGCCCATAAAGTGCTCTTCTTCCCTAACGTATTATTTAGACTGTTTTTCTAAAAGTCAAAAATGTTTGAACTACTGAAGAAAAATAACGGAACGCAGGCGTCATTTCGTCCAAACCAAATATGTTGTTTACCAACCCGATGCAGGTTTTCCTTTCAGTGTAACAATGTATGGAGACAGGATGATCGGCTACAATGTAAGCTAGAGGTGAGCATCCGTGAGGAATTTTTTCTCAGAAGCAATGAAAACTTGGTAGATTCTGTTCAAATTCTAGTCCTTCACCATCTCTAACGAGATGCAGAAACACAGAAACAAATACCGACTATCACCAATCTTCACCGTGCTTTCAACGGCATTACTGGTTCAAGATTTGTGTTTCGACAAGTCGTTCCATGACTTGTCGCAATACATTTGAAACACTGTTTGTTTAAATCAGATAGACAATCCATCCCAACACGGACGTAACCAAAGAATCGCGTTTTCAGAATTTTTCAACCTCTTTGTAGTATCTTGGAGAGATTTTTTCAGAAGATTGATTAAGCGAAAAACCTACACATAACTCGTTCAAAATTATCGATCTGTGAGTGTTTTTTACACCGTGATTGCTGACCCACTTCAGTGTTTCCTGTATACACGATTGTTGGGCTTTATCCGTTTTCAATCAATCACATAATGTGGCTTTACAGACCGGGAATGGTGTGAAAATATCGGTGCCTTTAGTCTACAGAAGATGATTTATTTTAAGTAAACAACCTTATACCAAACCATGGTATTGAAAGACTCCCCTAATACATACTAGTGTATATCTCTTGTAAACTGCGTACGTCGGTAATGATCATGCTTTGCTGACACGATTCTGTTATCGTTGATCATCGAATTTACAGTGCCGCAACTAGGACAACTCTGATAGTAAATATTCCAGATAGTGTGTAGAACGAACTAATGGTCATCAGCTTGCTTGCAAATTGTAAACCCATGTACTTCAAGTTTTTTTCTGGGTTCATTATTTGCATGTTTAATAGATTTCTGAAAAAACTGAGGTGGCTTTTCTAGAACTACAAATAAAATCCTATTAGTGTGCGAGTTTTGTTTACTTGCTCGGGTTTTGGCGATATCGTTTTACCATTTGTGATTTAGACACATCTACTCACCTTCCTGGCTGCTACCACATTGATTGAGCGACCTGAGTTCCTCGAGTAATGTCCGTACCCCGTAACCTTGTGCTTTATGACACTCTGGTAATGCATTTGAGAAAGAACTGAAAAGGTTAACACATGTGGGTTGAATGCGCAATCGTTCTTGAAACTACATTTTTCCTCTCATTACGGAAAAAACAAAACTGACATCATCCAACCGGCTCAGATGTTAGCTGGGAATGAGTTGTGTGGCCGACCTTGCCAATGAAATCATACTGTACTCTTTCGCATTCTAGGATGTTCAACATTCTTATTTTGTAGGAACATATAATGGTTTTACTAGGAAGTCAGCAATTCAGTAGTGAAATTACTGCAAGATATGTACCTGCTGAATTGCGTATAAAAGCATGTGACTCTAGGGAGAACCGATGTAGAGAATGGTCTTATGTCGGAATGAAGGACAGTGTAGCTATACAGCAAAGCTAATAAGGAAATTACAAAGCACTGACACTTCGATGCAAAAAGGAGAACGTTATCAGGGTGAGTATACGGTGATAATAGTGAGTAACATACATTGTAATGTTACAGGTGAAAGGAAGAAGGACTTCGATGCGGAGTTATTTATTCGGAATGCCAACTACAGGTGAAAGGAAGAAGGACTTCGATGCGGAGTTATTTATTCGGAAATGCCAACTGACCGGTTACAGACCATTGAGCAGGGAAGTGAAAGTCTAATCTGCATCTTAGTTCCAAAAACTGGACACAGATCTTCTCCCGAACGAGTTTTCTTAAAGATTAGTTGCCTCTACTCATTCGTCGGTCAAATCCAAGTAAATGTTACAAAGTGGCCCCGCGAATTCCGCAACAGAATTCCCTTTTTCCATCGACGCAAAGCGAAATTCTACATACAACACATACTACTCGCGTGCCTCCCGATCAGTAGTATCACCGTTACACAGGTGTCCCTGTGTGTGAACGCTCGTCTAACTCGATGTCTGTTCAGTCAGAAATGAGAAGACAGCCTATCGACATTTCCCCTTTGCCGCACCGATTGATCTGCTACTGAGTTCAGGTGAAGAATGGCTACTAAGTTGAATGTTACGTTAATCTGTACATAGCTGCCGTGTGACCTCAGGGAAAGAATAGGCTTGAGATGCTGTCGGACTGCCTAACACTAGACAGGAGCAGTCGAAGTGTCGGGATGGGGCTCGAACCATGGACCTCTACAGTTGAATGCATACACCACAGTTAACCTTTTGGTTAATGGTTTGCGTATAGTGATGAAACATGTAAGTTAAAAGGAACTGCTTGCAGTGTTTTCATCCGGACAAAGTTCCACTTGTGAAAGCTTCCTGTTTTGCGTAGCACATGCATCGTTTGACCAAACTCGGAATCAACTGTGTTTTAAGTGACTTCTCTCAAATATGGTGCGATCCTTCACAAGAATTTGCGTATTTGAATTTCCGGAGTAGAAAATTGTGTGCATATGAAAAAGCTGGTTTTTGAACAACATCAAAAAAGTTCGTTCCATTTATTGAGGTCAGCAGAGTTGAATGATTTCCTTTTTTTATCACTCTTGAAAACACTCGAATCTTTGGCGTGTTAACCAGTTTCACTTGAGTCTTAAAATGAAGCAAGCATGCTTTTCACATGGCAAGAAACTCTGACCAGTCGAGCCTGACTGTCGAAAAATTCTGGCACTTCAAACATTTGGTGAGTTTGTATTTCTCTCCCAGCCATATGACCCTAGATAATAAGTTTTGACGGCATTTTTCATCTCGTTCTTCTTGTTTCTCCACTATCAGTGACCTTAAACACCGACAACGTTTTCCGCTCCAGGAAGTTTTATCACCCGAAGGGCAAATATATCCCTGTGAGTTTACATACCTACTGCTGGAACGACCAAACGTCCAAGTGGATTATGGCGTTGCACCATTAAAGGCATGAGTTTTTATAACTTCCATTATCCGTTCATGTTTTTCGTAACGTTAGTTAATTATTGTTTTGTTTATACGTCCCTTCTCAGTTTGCTGCAAAAATATTTGATGTAGGGATACTAAAAGAAATGACCACGTTATTTCTGGGAAGTACAGCACATCATAAAAACTTAGCTTGCGAACCATAAAATGTATGATCCAGTTAGATCAATTTGTCGTTTTTATCAAGAAAAACGTTTGAGCGAATTATCACACATCACATTGAGAGCCCTGTAACAGTTCCAGCCGATCAGAATGAATACATATGTTGATGGGAGTGTGATCATGATGTGATGTGAACCCTGAATGGTCTGAAGTTAGAGCTAACAAATGCTTTTTTCGCTGGTAATTTATTGCATTGGGTATCATTATCGCTACATGAGGAGGCTATTGACATGATTGCTGTGTAGACCAATTGGTGATGACCTATTTAGGACCAACAGGTGTTTACACGGTGATAGCATCCTTTGCCAAGTAGTGGATAAAATGAATAGATGATGAGCGTTCAGCTTCAACACTCTTCTGGTGCGCAGCTGTTATATTGCCCGAAAAAAAGTACAAAGTTTGAGATACTACCAGGCTGTTAAATCCTAAACAACATCAATGGAGATACTGAAGTTGGGCTCGAACCACGGATCCTCCGTGGTTTGCAAACCACTAGGATATCTGGAGCTAGCCTCGCCTACCGCTGAGGTGAGATCCCCGCAGAAAAATAACGTAAAACAAATCGTCACAAAAGCTAATTATTTTTATGTAATTATGCGATCTTACTTTTGTGCTGCTCTTGCTTGAGTAGTCTCAAGCAATGCTTGATATGGTTACTCGGACAGCCCACAACAAGGGCTGAAATCATTGAACATGATTTTTGTATTAACCCATTAGTGCAACATATGATTGCGCGATTCTACTGTTGGATGCGATCATATCACTATCACTTAGAAGGCGCACGTTGGACCCGTAACCCATTGCGACGCATTGCTACGCTCCCAAACTACTCACTGATGATGTTACCTCGATTGGTGATGAAACTGATTACCCAGCTCGGCGAACTAGCTAACAACCATCTACGCTACTTGAGCTACCAACGTTCTCTTCTTTGGATTGCTGAAACGCATCGTTGTATCCTACTGCGCTGAAAATGCGTCGAATTGGTGCATACAGTCACAATTGGGTGGAAAATGAACAACCTGTAGTGGACAAGGACCTATGTATGCGTGTTCGATAGAATATACAACCAAAATACCAGCTTAGAAACAACAAATGGCAATAAGAAATGGACAAGTGTACGGAACAGACTCACTAAATTGGAGATCCAATAATTCCACTACACGAAATGTTGTGCAGTAATTGTATTCGGCGGTGAAGAATATATCCAGAGTAAGAAGGATATTCTCCTGATAGTTCTAGTTTTAGAAGTAAATTCCACGGTAGACCGTTATCACAGCTGAAAATTGTCACAAGGAGTTATTGTGACGTTCAACAGTTCACACAAACACAATAATCCAATCTCACGACTCCAGCAAACAGCAATCAGCTCAATCGGATGCAATTTCACTGACTCAGCAAAAAGCAGGTAAGTCGCGCCAAAAAAATTGTATTCGTAACATTAAAACAAACGTTATGATACAATGTGAACGACAGTTACAAAGTGTGGTTCAAGTTCAGGAAGAATGGTAAATGTTACAACGAATTACAGACACTGCAAACCACATAAAAGATGTCTTTTTTACTCTTATGTCGACACTGCTAGATATGACCAACATTGGTGAACTGTTATAAGACGGATACCCGCATACTTCCTCAGCAGAACGGTTAGCGCCGCTAATTTTTCGTATCAGTTCGACTTTAAAAGGGGGCTCAAATTTATCTAGGCTGAGTACCCCATAGTGCCACATGCTTCTTTTGGAATGCTGTTGAGGATATCGTAGTATATTTTCTTCAAAGAACACTACTCGTAAGTATGTCGAACGGTTTCTTGTTATTCGACTCCCTAATGGCTCAAAAAGTGCCAATCCATCTTTGGTTATCTCAGACACCATTTGAAAGCGCTGTCTCCCTCACGATCAAAGTTTCTCTAACACTGAAAATAATGCGTCGATCTGACTCGTATGAAGATTTCAGTAACTGATGTTAGTACCACTCGTATTGCACCTCGATCTTTCTAAAGACCCGTACATTGTTTCTAAAGATACTTGCCCATAGAAATCACTTCAACTTTGCACGATTTCGAGGAACGTGGTCTAACTCAGACAAAGTTTTTGCTGTAGGTTATAAATAGAAGTGCATTCTATGCAGAGGAAAAATTGCCCGTGAGAATCATCGCAAGCGTCGAAAATTTGGGCGATGTTCCCGGTAAATTAGAGCCTTGCTAACTGCAATGTTTGAACCGTCCCCTTTTTTACCACTATCACGTAATTTTGAAGAGCATGGCCACACAAATAAAAAGTAAATGCAAGCGACGGATGTAGGAGGGTCACAGGAGAATATTAGACAAAAAGATAGAAGCGTCTCATTCAAAGTCTTGCCACCAACAGTTCCTGTAAGACAAGATGAATTCCAAAGTATGTAAGAGTTTCTGGTGTGGAAACACGCGTGTAAAGACCAACAACCGAAGAAAGGGCAAACAATTCTAAATCCTCTTCAAGGCGAGGTAAGCGCTAGCACCGTCAAGACTAGCACATCAGGCAAAAAATCGTCCGTCATATTGGGTCTGGTGTGAGTTTTAGTAGTAGGAATGTATACTCAACGCCAGGTACTACGCTTAACAGTGTCATAAGTACGAAGAGAGCACACAATGTCAATCATTCACAAGTCACTGACTGTGACCTTGGGAAGTTCCAGTCCAATAACAGCATGGCGGACTGAGAAAGGCCGTATTTAATTCTGTAGCGCACTCATCACCAAATCTAGCAGTGATTTTTTATATTAAAGCCCTCCATTGTCTTAGAGTGGAGACAAGTTGTGCATATCGGATGGGCTTTCGATGACTTTCAAACTGTTTCAAGGACTCGTGAACACCCATTAATGTTATGACGGTGGATAGGTAGACAATTTAGGTGTGGTTCCAAGGCCGGTATAACCTCCTGTA